TTTGGGATTTGGGATGTAGACTGACCATTTCCAGTCTTTTGGCCACTGTTGAGTTTTCCAAATTTGTTGGCATAAGGCAAGCAGAATTTTCACAGCATCATCTTGCAGAATTTTGAATAGTTCAATTGGGATTTCATCATCTCCTGCAGCCTTGTTATCTGCAAGGCATCCTAGGGTCCATCTCACTTCGCTCTCCAAGATTTCTGGTTCCATCTAATTGGGACATCATTGCTGTTAAGAGCCTTCCTGTATAGAGCTTCAGTGTATTCTTGCCATCTCTTCTTTATATGATCTTCTTCTGTTAAGTCACTGCCATGTTTGTCTTTTATCACACCCACTTTGGCATGAAAGGTAACTTTTAGATCCCCAATTTTCTTGAATACATCTCTTCACTTTCCCTTTCTGTTATCTTCTTCTATCTCTTTACATTGCTCATTGTAGAATGTCTATTTGTCTCTTCTTGCTATCCTTTGGAATTCTGCATTCAGTTGGACAAATGTTTTCCAATCTCCACTACCTCTCAAACTTTTTTTCCCAGCTTGTTGCAAAATTGGAAGTGCTTCAAACTGTTTTTTTTTTTTTTGCCTTCTTTTGGATTAACAGCAAAAACAAATGTGAGGAAGGCTGAACTTTATGGACGCAAGTCTCTTTTCACCTATGTAACTATGTTAAGAGAGCGTGGGACTCTATTTTACTAGAGATTTACAAGCTATTGGTTATTACATGTGTAGGGTCACCTGAGACAACCTTGCTACACCTGAAATTACCTCAATTGCCAAAAAAAAAGAAATGGCTCCTGGTTCGCATATTGATGGCATTTTTCAATCGCCAGAAATTGGAAAAAAACATTAATAGATACATCAATCTCATCCCAGACTCAATCCATATAAAACCCACTCACACGTTCTGTCTCTTTCTCTCCTCCTGCTTCTAGCAGCTGGGGATGTCTCTCCCAACCTAGGGCCCTCTACTCACACTAAGTCAACCAGAAACCACACAAACCTCATCCCAATAACATGCAGTCTATCCCCATCTACCAATATTCAGTGTGCACTCTGGAACGCACGTTCCATCTGCAGAAATATAAAATCAACAGCCATATTCATCTCAAATTCTTTCACAATTCTTGCACTCACTGAGACCTGGCTATCCCCCTCTGATACTGCTACTCCTGCTTCCTTATGTTACGGTGGGCTACAATTCTCCCACACTCCTAGACCAAACAACTATAAAGGTGTAGGCATCCTTCTGTCCTGTCAATGTATGTTTCAACCTATCATCCCTGCCCTTGCCCTATCCTTTACTTCCTTTGAAGTTCACACACACTGTCCGTCTATTTAAACCCACTCCTCTAAGAATTGCTATCATTTATCGCCCCTAGGACATCCTAGGCTTTTCATTGAACACCTTTCTTCCTGACTGCCCCATTTCCTCTCCTCTTGCACTCCTTACCTCATTCTTGGATACTTTAATATCCCAATCAGCAACCCTAACTGCCCTGATGCCTCTTGTCTGTTCTCTATAACCTCCTCCGTTGGACTCACACTGTGGTCTCATTTATCAACTCATAGAGCAGGAAAAACTCTTGACCTCATCTTCACCAATCTCTGTACCACCTCCAATCTCTCCAATGTTCCATTTCCTCTATCTGACCACCATCTGCTGTCCATTGACATCCAAATACCCCAGTACACAAAGTACACCACCCTCACCACATCAGTTTTGCATAAGCCTCCATTGTCTTGACGTACAGCAATTCTCCACCAACCTCCAAATTCTCCTTTCACCCATCTCAAATCTCACCTGCCCTAACACTGTAACCTCTCTCTACAACTCCACTTTCTCCTTTCTCCTCTCAACTAGACATCATGGCACCTCCTAAACTTTAATGCACTAAGCGTCCCCCAATTACAACCCTGGCACACCAAGCTAACCCAATACCTACAAAAATGTTCCAGAACTGCTGAATGCTGCTGGAGAAAGTCTCACTTTGAGTCTGACTTTCTCCACTATAAATGTATGCTGCACTCCTACAGTCTGGCTCTTTCCTCTTCAAAAGAAAACTATTTCAATATACTCATAACCACACTCTCCTGCAAGCCCGAACGGCTGTTTCATGCTTCTGCGCCCTGTCGTGCCTCCTCCTCCTACCAATTTGACCGCCACAAACTTTGCAACTTACTTCACTGAGAAGATTTCTACAATCAGGGAAGAGATCTTTCATCTCTCTCCATCCACTACTTACCTTTCCCCTAAGCACACTCCTTCAGCTATCCTATGTTCATTTTGCACCCACTACAGCAGAAGAGGTTTCTGCTCTGCTCTGTTCCTCCCAACCCACCACCTGTTCCCTCAATCCTATTCCCTCGTATCTCATCCACACTTTGTCTCCTTCTCTTGCTCTGCCTCTCACTAAAATTTTCAGTCTCTCCCTCTCCTCTCGCACATTTCATCTACCCTTCAATCTACCCTTCAAACATGCAACTGTAATCCCGATTCTGAAAAATCCCAACCTTGACCATAAGTCCAACTACCACCCTATCTCGCTACTGCCATTTGTCTTCAAGATCCTTGAGAGATTTGTGTATGTGAGATTGACTTACTTCTTAGAATCCAACTCTCTGCTTGACCCACTTCAATTTGGATTCCACGCTCGTCACTTTGTTGAAACATCTGTGACCAAAGTATCCAATGATCTTATCACTGCAAAATCCCATTGCCACTACTCTATCCTAATTCTCCTCGACCTTTCAGCTTTCTCTCCCTGCATCCGGATTCCTCTCCTGAAACTGTAATCATAACAAAACTATAAGCCCTCAATGAACATTATCCTAGCAACCTACTTTTCTACCCTACCCTTACCTTTTGTGTCACATTACCCCACTTCCTCTACCATGTAAGCTCATTGAGCAGCACCCTCAATCCCTCTGTTCCTGTGTGTAACTCTGGTTACAAATAATTGTCTGTTAGTTCACCCAGTATACAGTGCCATCCTGCCATTGGGCCCCATCCCATTTCAGAGTGATTTTCAAACTTACCACACATGTTATAATATGAGTATTACGTTTATGTATTTGTTTTGTCTTGTACTTATGGTGTGTCTTAAGTGTAGAAAGAACAGTTATATTCATAGATTTCAGCATAAGCGAATATATAAATAATGATATATCTGTTCCTACAACTATGGATGTAATACTCATTTTTAAATAGCAAAAACACAATAAAATATAAAAAAAAATAATTATAAATAGAAACAATACAGTAAGTGTAAAAAAAATGCATCATATAGAGAAATAAGTGGAACCTCCCAATCCAAGACGCACTTCGCTATATAATAGCTTTCTCAATAGAATGCTGTTCAGGGTACTTTTTAAAGCCCCCCTAATTGTCCACAAAGAGGGTCATAGTCCTAGCAAGTCATATATCAACCGTTTTCACCAGCAATTACTTATTGGACATCATAAGTACGTCACTTACCATCTGGCTCTGAGTAACACAGATTACATGATCCGAAGATCTCTCTGCATTGTGTCTGTAGAAATGCAGGTATACAAGAAGAGGCAATCAGATACCAAGTACAAAATAAATATAGTATTATAACCTGTTGCAATTTAAAGAACTGTATGTGAGAAAAGAGGCTTGAAAAAAAATAGATATATTAAAAACATTTAATTTACTAATTTACAATTAATACAGGGGTGTATGCAAAAAATATCATACTATAGGCACCAAAAAACTTTAGCCTAATGAAGCAGTTTTGGTGTATTGATCATGTCCATGCAGTTTCACTGCTCAGTTATCTGCCATTTAGATGAGATCAGGTCATCACTTCTTTTCCTCTTGGGTTGCTTTTGCAGTATGTTTTGAATCATTGTCCATTTGTAAAACGAAGCACCATCCAATTAACTTTGCTGGATTTGACTGAATCTTCACACACTATATCCTTTCACACTCCATAATTTATCTCGCTGTATCTGTCTTCTGTAACTACATCAATATACAATAGTGACCTAGTACCACTGGAAGCCTTGCGTACTCATGTCATCATACTGCCTCCACTGTGTTTTACAGATGATGTATTATTCTTCGGATCATAAACTGTTCTAAGCCTTCTTCATACTTTTTTTTCTCCCATCATTCTGATACAGTTTGGACTTAGTTTCATCTGTCCACAGATTGCTGTTAAAGAACTGGGCTGGCTTTTTGAGATTTTTTTGGCAAAGTCTTACCTGGTATTTCTATTCTTGAGGCTTGTGGGGAACCATCTGTAATTGCTCTCATTAAGTTTTCTCTTTATGGTAGATTTGGATAAAGAAATGCCTACTTCATGGAGAGTGTTATTTACTTGGCTGAATGTTGTGAAGGGTTCAAGTTTAATCTGCATTTCCTTACTGTTTTAATCTAGTTGATATCAGTGGCAGAAAGAGGATCCAGGCAGGGCCGTCTTTAACGCGGGGCAAACGGGGCAGCTGCCCCGGGCCCAGTTGCTCCTGGGGGCCCAGAGCAGCTGCTCTGTGGGCCCCGCGATTTGCTCAGCCCCTGCGGTGCGGCTCCCGCACACTGAGGAGGCTTCCCGGGTGGCCCATGCTCTAAGGGCCACCCGGGGAGCATGTGTCAGCAGGGGCCCGGTCGGGCGCTGTGGCGCTTAAACAGCGCGACCGGGCCCCTCTTCTGCTTCTGCAGCCGGCTGGGAGGAAGTGACGTCACTTCCTCCCACCGGAGATAGCTGCGCGGGAGGAGGAAGGCAGGGAGGAGGGGAGTTCCAGAGGAGAACTCCCATCTGCCTCAGCCTGCCACTGGACCAGGGAAACCACCCTCCAGGAAAAGGTAAGAACCTGGAGGGTGGCTAAATGTATGTCAGTAGGTCTGTGTGTGTGTGTATGTCTGTGTGTATGCCAGTATGTCTGTGTGTATGCCAGTATGTCTGTGTGTGTGTCAGTATGTCTGTGTGTGTATGCCAGTATGTCTGTGTGTGTGTGTCATGTCAGTATGTCTGTGTATGTGTGTGTGTGTCTGTATGTCTGTGTGTGTGTGTCTGTATGTCTGTGTGTGTGTGTCTGTATGTCAGTATGTCTGTGTGTGTATGTCTGTGTGTGTGTGTGTGTATGCCAGTATGTCTGTGTGTGTGTGTGTGTGTGTGTGTCAGTATGTCTGTGTGTATGCCAGTATGTCTGTGTGTGTGTGTGTCAGTATGTCTGTGTGTATGCCAGTATGTCTGTGTGTGTGTATGTAGGTATGTCTCTGTGTGTGTGTGTACGTGTGTGTCAGTATGTCTGCCAGGATATATTTGTGTGTCAGTGTATGTGTGTGTCAGTATGTATCTGTGAATATTTTAATGTCTGTCTGTGTGTATGTCAGTATGTCTGTGTGTGTGTCAGCATGTCTTTGTGTGTCAGTATGTCTGTGTGTGTATGTAAGTATGCCTGTGTGTGTATGTGTGTGTCAGTCAGTATGTCTGTCAGTGTATGTGTCTGTGTGTGTATGTATGTATGTATGTATGTCTGTGTGTGTGTGTGTGTCAGTATGTCTGCCAGGATATATTTGTATGTCAGTGTATGTGTGTGTCAGTATATATCTGTGAATGTTTAATGTCTGTCTGTATCAGCCATTACGTCTGTCTGTGTATATGTCAGTATGCCTGTGTATATGTCAGTATGCCTGTGTGTGTGTGTCAATGTGTCTGTCAGTGTATGTGTCTGTGTGTTTTAGTATATCTGTCAGTGTATGTGTTTGTGTGTGTGTCAGTATATCTGTTAATGTATGTGTCTGTGTATGTATGTATGTCTGTGTGTGTGTCAGTATGTCTGCCAGTATATATTTGTGTGTAGTGACTTTGTGTGTCAGTATGTATCTGTGAATGTTTTAATGTCTGTCTGTGTGTGTATGTGCCAGTAAGTCTGTCAGTGTGATTGCGGGTTGGACGTAATTGGGGGGGTGAGGCAGTGGCAGGGACAGGGCCCATGGGGCCCAAGAAAATGCATTGCCCAGGGTCCTAATCATATTATAGACGGCCCTGGATCCAGGCACTCCAAATACCTTCAATTACATTTATTAGGACAAGTGAAACACTGCAATGTTTCGACCCCTGAATGGGGTCTTTGTCAAGTTAATGTTTTCATTAATTTGATGTAATGTTAAACTCCTCTGTTCAATGATAATTCCTATCATATGGACAGAGACTGATTCAAGGCTTTATCCCAGATTCCCATAAAATTATTATTATCTTGATCAAAAGTGGGTAGTTTATCAAATCTAAGTCTCCCAGGTGTTATTTGGAGACTGATATATTTTTCTAATGTAAAGGTATCTGGTCTTTTTATCTAATTAGAATTCTCTGTATGTTGAGATTAGTAAATATCAGCTTAATATCAAATTATGTTTTATTATATCTACCTTTTTTATTATTTACCTTGAATTGCTTTTTTATAGGGGATTTAAGTTTAGTGTTATGAATTTCTCCTTTGAATATTAAATGTTGACTCCAATAAAATGGTGGTAAGCCATATCAGCAAAAATATATCTTGGGTGTATATAGCACCATAGATGAAGAGCTAAGTAATGGCTACCTGGGTCCGGACACTGTCTTGTGATGTGGCCAGGATGTAAGGATCCACATAAGTACGCTGTGGCCAGTGCGGATGACTCAGACGGAACGTCTCGCGGCATGATGTAAGGATGCATTTATGTGACAATATTATTATTATTATTATTGCCATTTATATAGCGCCAACAGATTCCGTAGCACTTTACAATATTATGAGAGTGGATTTAACTATAAATAGGACAATTACAAATAAACTTACAGGAACAATAGGTTGAAGAGGACATTAGGACAGGAAATGATGACTATCACGTCAATATCAGATGACGAATGCAGAAACAGAAGCCAGAAGAGGCATACACAAGCACTGAAAAAGCGGGAAGTCTTAAAATAAAAAAGAGACTCTTGGAACTTTAAGACATCGAACCACTTTTGAGAATGGCTGTTAACCTGAAACGCGTTAAGTGGAGGTGGACTATTATTTTTATTGGGAGGGTTGTTTTTATTAATTTTGTTCAAATAAAAAAAATTTCCACTTATATCCTGCATCCTGGATTTTATAAGAAGGAATTCTACATAGGCTGAGGAACAGATTAAGATAGTCTCCAGAACTCATCCACCTAATTATTTCAAGCTCTATGTCTGAGCCAGCTTTTTAAAGTGGCTCAGAAGCATGTGAGTGGGTCCTTTTATGTGTTTATATTTAATCATAGCATAAACTATATTACCCTATGATCATTTTCTCTTTTTAATACTCAGATCAAATATCCATTAATTAGACTGTGATAATCATTTGTTGTGTGCTCTCACCGTTACATATTTGTTGACTGTTGTTTTTCACATTATACGTGCGTTACAGTGGCTCACATAGGTGAAGCACTAATTTTATTTATCACACCAATTCTTTTATTTGTATTTTATTTCAAGCAAAAAGAAATGGACTCACTTCACATTTGTTGTTGATGACCATCATTGTGGGAAATCTTGTAAGTGGGATCCAAGATAATTTAATTGGTGATGCACTCATTCCCTAGTAACAGCCAGAGATAGCTAACCGTTCAGTCAGGCACTAACAGCTGCTATACTTAGGGATAAATTTTAGATGCCTCCCAGATAGTATAACAAATTTTTGACAGTAATATTGAGATAAATTTATGGCATCCAACAGAGAAGTGAATCTCACTTGCTTTGAGAGTATATACAAATACCAATACTATGAAAGAGGAACAATCTCGAGAATTTACAGAATGCTCCAAAACTCTATTGTAGAAAACAAATTGGGAAAGAGACCTAGTTGAGGTGTTGGATGATAGTATTTCTCAAACTTTGAGAAAGCCTTATTGTAGACAAAATGGGTTAGGGTTTTTTTTACAAAGTATTTAATACTATATTTGATTTTTTAAATTTATCTCCAAATAAAGCAAGTTATTTTATTCTATTTGTAGCCATTTGACCTATCTTTGAAAAATTCTTAATAGGGATGTGCATTGGCAAAAAATTCAGTTCGGTTTGTCACTTCCGAAATTCAGGACTTCGGCAATTCGGGACTTCAGCTAGGAACTTCCGAAATTCGGGACTTCGACAATTCGGCAGTTCGGCACTTTGGTTCGGCACTTCTGAAATTCGGGACTTCTGCAATTCGCATTTCGGGATTTCGTCACTTTCAGCCATTCCCTAAGCCTAACCCTACCCCTACCCTTAACCCTACCTCTAACCTAACTTCTAACTCCATCCCTACCCCCAACCCTACCCCTAACCCTACCCCTACTAGGATTAGGAGTAGGGTTAGGGAAGGGGTAGGGTTGGAGTTAGGGGTATGGTTAGGGCTAGGGTTAGATTCCTGTCATCATTCCCTTAATTTTCCCTCCCTCTCCTGTTTTGCGACTTTTCAGAAATCCGAAGCACTTCGGCACGTCCTAAATTTGGCACTTCTGCAATTCGGTTCGGTTTGGCAGTTCCAAAATCCGGCACTACGGCAATTCGGACATTTGGAAGCATCGGAATGTCCAAATAGCTGAAATTCGTCCGAATTTAAATTCGGACCGAAACAATTGCACATGTCTAATTCTTAACCTGGAGGACTCGCACAGTGATATCCTTGGTAGGGATTATACCACCTAAGCCCATTCGGACTGAGCAAAACCAATATTTGCTCTTCGCTTGTGAGGTTACCTGCTTTTATTTATTTTAATCTTCCAAACTACATACAGAGAGCACTATATCCCCATTTTATTTGTCTCTTTCATACTGAGGACATTTGATTGCTGCAAGATTGCACTTTGAAGAAAGAATACCTCTACAACTGCTGAATATGCCTTTGAATACAAATAAAGACCACCAATATATCAACAGACTATAACGTCCTGGCACATATATCTGGAGCTGAGAAAAAGCTCCAGAAAATGGTAAGTGTATTTTGTTTTACTTACCATTTTTCAGCTATTTATAATATACTACACTATATTACGTCTTTTTCCTTTACTCCTATCGCCCCGGATTTGAGAAATACTATTATCAAGCGCTGCTCCCCTGCATTTCCTTTTTCATATCCATTGTACTACCAGAAAGAAGAAACTCTGAGTTGGGAAGTTCCAGCTGCTAAACGTCCAGTACACTAGCGCAAAAAAATGTCACCTCTCTTCTCCATTTGAGGTGTTGGATGAGTAGACCTGGAAGATTTTTTTTATAAATGCTTACAATGTATCCATTTACACCACTCTAAAAGAAAATAGATATGTGTCTTTTTAGGTTGGTACTTAGATTAATTTAAGTTGAACTATGTCTATCTTGAGTAGAGATGAGCGAACCCTGCTGAGCGGATGCCCGGCGGAACAAGCCGATACCTCCTACTCCCCGGACCTATCCAGCGCTCAAGTTTACCTATCAACTATGGGGCGCTGGTTACAAAAGACACAAGGTACGGCCAGGGGCCTAAACTCACACCAGCGGCATCAACGCTGTAGGTGACCCAGACATCTACCCCACCTCGACAACGGACAGAATCACCTGGGCCCCTACAGGCACCCAAAACAAGCCAGCAAGCGTCTGCACCCCCTGGGCAGCAACAACCACTGCAGCAGGATATGATATACACCCAGGTACAACAAGGCCTAGATTTACAGGGACCCACATGGGTAGCACAGCCTGAAAGGGAGCACAACCCACTTCAACCCAGGCCTGACCTACCAGGGCACCCACAAGCACCGCTGCAACCGCTACTGGAGTCCCCAGATGACTCTGCACCAACCACCAAACGCGACTTAAAGCTCCTATTAGCAGACATCCACAAACTCCTAGCAGCTGACTCAGCCCTCCTCAAGACCGAACTACGCACGGTCACTGAAAAGATGAGAGCCACGCAGACAGAAGTAGTGACAGTACACGCTCACATAAACACAATGGAAGGATCCATTAAACAAATCCAGCAACAACATACGTACCTGTCATTCAAAATGTCAAACATGGAAGATCGACAACGCCGCTCTCACCTTAAGATCAGGGGCATCCCTGCGGAGATAACAGCCGAAGAGCTGCTGCAATACACCAGACGCCTCCTAGCCACAATCCTCTCCCACACAGCGTTTAATAAATTAAACATAGATGGGTGTACCGCCTGCTTACCCCTCCCCACCTAAAGTCCTCAACGGCCAGAGACGTCATCCTCAGATGCGCCACAGTGCAAGACAAACTACAGATAATGGCCGGGCTGAAAGGCAAAACACCATTGCTATTCGAGAACTCTTCCCTAACATTCTTCCAGGATTTATCAAAAGCCACCCTTATGTGGCGCAAATCCTCAGGACCATTCACTACAAAACTCAGAGCAG